AACCGGTGGGATGGGGGTACTTACCTCCTCCTGCTGCTTCCTCCTCTTCCTCCTTGGTGTGGAGCTCCCTCCCCCACGGATATCGTGGGCCCGCCCCTTGTTATTACTCTTGGCAATAAAGCCTCTGGTTCTGGTTGACCGGTCTGATGTGAACATTCATGAATATTCAAAGTTCTCAGGAAACAAAGCTGTCAGAATGTTTTTGAATCTGTGTCTGTAGGTGGGTAGGGGAGGTTTCTGAAGTGGAAATTTTACCTTTTGGAAAGGAATAGCTTTGTGAGGTGGGATAAGGCATTGAAAGGAGAAAGTACGGAATATAAGGGACAGAGAGATCAGAAGGAAGGGCATATAGTATGCCATGGATGCTCAGCATGATGGATTTTTTGGACAGCTTGCATGTATAAGTGCAGAATTGTACCAAGGTATATCCTTTAATTGTATCAGCATTGCAGTGAAACCTGTTTCTACCTTTGATATCCAGATCTTCATGATCAAAAGCATCTCTGGTGATGTTCATGTCTAGGAAGTTGGACCTCAAAAAGGTTTAGCAAAATCAGGAATAAAAACCAAAGGATTTAGCATTTCAAAAAATTGTGACAATAACTTTTATTAAACAAGAGGCTTCCATGCACACCAATGGAGCCTTCTTCATTATTTATCTCATTGAATGAAGGCGATCCAGGCATACCTTAATTTTTGACTTAGATCTTGTTTTACTAACTTGCAAAAAGCCACACCCACAGCTCCACACATTTATTAAAGGAGACATGCATTTCTCGGCTAGGTTAAAAATAACAAATCTGTAAGGCAATCAAATCACAAGAAGGGGGGGGGGAATGAATCTTGTGTTACCCAAAGAGGCAGTCTCCTATTTAATCGGAAGAATTAAGAAGAGAAGGAGGCCCACATGCAAGGAAAGGTGTGAAGTATGGTGCCGAGAACACACACACAGACTAGCAGGGCAAAATGCTGCCTGAGTTCAGGGGAACATGCTTGCTCCCAAAGCAATAACTTGGGCCCCGGTCACACGAGAGGATTTGGGCCGGGAGAGGGATGGATCGGGGGCGGAGCAAACGGGCGCGATCCCACCGCAACATCTGGGAAGCGTTGCGTGCCCGTCCCCAATCCGGCCCTTCCGACGGTAATCCGCAGCAAAATAGATCCGAACGGCCGCATCAAAGTCAGCCGTGGGATCGCCAGCGCGTTCTTCCGCCGGCGCATCCCCGGCTCCTAGCCGAACTGTGCATGCTCAGACATGCGCAGTTCGGCAGCCTCCCGTGGCTTCCTCCCCGGTCTCCCCGGCATCTGATCATGCCGGGGAGCAATTGCATGGTGGCTCACGGGATCTGTATGATCCCGCCGCCGCGTGCCTATTTTGGTGCAGCTTTTAAAAGCCGCACTTTGCCCGTCCTTTTTTCCCCTCATGTGGCAGAGACCTTGATTGGTTTTCTGGAGATGGATAACATTTTGGGAGAGGCTTGATGTGTTTCTCATACTAATCTGGGAGAAACTTGATGGTTTTTCCTGATGTAAACTGAAAGTGTAATGACTCTTGATGACCCGTCAAGTACCAGATGGGAAAACTACCGGATTTGGTGAATAGCATTAAGTGTTGCATAACTAGGGTAAATGGGAGAGGGGAAGCAGGGCTTGATAATTGACGGGATTAGTACCATGTAAGAGTTTCTTGGGAGATTCATTGCTCCTAAATTATGCATCTCCTTAGTGGGGGGAGACAGTTGTTAGCTGGTCAGCTGCTTCTGACTCACCTTCAAAAATAAAGAAATATTTTCCCAGGCTTGTCTCTGGCTGGCATCCATTTTGTGTCATTTTAGGCCAGACAGTGTGTGTTTATGATTTTTGAGGTGATATTTGTATGAAGGGTGTTTATGCCTCCATCTCTCTACATGCCAAACTGCCCCTCTGCAGGAGAAGGGATCTGACTGCTAACACTTGTACCCTTGGATTCTATGAGGGCAATAGCAGTTGCTAAAATAAGTGACTAAACTGATAACACAGGAACATGGGATAGTCCCTTTTGGTTTGTCATTTTAATTGTTCTTTATTGACATTGTATTACAAAATAATGAAAGCTACTTAAAATGTAATCGTCTGGTTTTGAAAAAAAATGCAACATACTAAAATATTATATGCTTGGAGTGAGCAACTCAGCATGCCTGGACATTGGGGAGGGCTACATCACGCTAAGTGTGTGTGTTATCAAAGATAGAATTAGTAGGCACACTGATAAACAAAAGCTATTGAGGAAGAATCAGCAGGGATTCTGTAAGGGGATATCTTGTCTCACTAACCTTTTAGAGGTCTTTGAAGGGGTGATCAAGCATGTGGATAAGGGTGACCCAATAGATGTTGTTTACCTGACTTCCAGAAAGATTTTGATAAAGTTCCTCATCAAGGCTCTTTGCTTTGTTCTGCCCC